TTTTTCAGAAAAATAAGCACTAGAGAAATGGAGTGGGAGTAACCTGAATTATTCTATTAGCAGAGCTGCAATACTTGGGATATGAGATTATTCCCCTAGCTATGCAAAAGACGCTATTCAGTTGTACTTTAGTAGCATCTGGCGCTAGCCAGTATCCACACCGCTGTAATTCGGTGCGTGTCACGGTGCCTGGTAGGGTGGTTCACGTGGCATGCCATGGTTGGTGCAGTATCCCGTATGTGTCCCGTACCGTAATTCGAGTATGCGGTGCGCACCGTAGCATAGATGTATCTGGAGCGCTGTACGAGCTAAGATGTCGGGGCAAATATGGGGACATTCACAACATGCAATGTGAATATGCAAGTCAGTTTCGTTTTAAGAAGTGGGTTTGACGGAGTAAGAAAAGGCCCCAGCTTTGGCTGCTGCATGCTAGCCCAGTGGGTACCAATCTCCTGCCATCGGCCGAGTGCTGATGGAACGGAGTAGAAGAAAAAGAAAGAAGAATATTGCGTTCAAGAATACAATTTCGGTAGGGATATACAGTAAAGCCTGTAACTAAAGACCACCGTCACTAGCGACCAGCCTGGTACTACCGGCCACTTCGCCAGGCACGGAAGGTCTCACATTCAAAATGCACTGTGACTAGCGACTACCTTCTGAACGCAACCAGCGACCGCCTTTTCCTGTCCCAAACACAATTTTTGACCCGTAACTAGCGACCGCAATGTAGGAAATCAAATGTTGCTCGAAGCTCCTTCTTGAAATTTTACTGATTTTCCATGGTCCTGAAAAGAATCTTTCGATACTACAGCTGAACAAATGAATGCAGGTAATTTGGGCTGTGGAGTCGGTGTGGACTGCACTACACCTGTCAAAATTTCAAGCGCTGTCAAGAAAAAACATGATAGGAAACGTCTTGGAGAGCGCATCGAAAGCGCTCTCTGATCGATGTTACTACTCGGAGGAGAAACGAAGACTGGGCGGCTCTGTCACACCAGTCATACAGACGGATTGACGATGGCATCAAGGAATCCAGAAACAAAGCAGCACCACAAGGTCCTGATGCTGAAGGATCGCGTTCAAGCAATCGAGAAGTCACAACAAGGACAGTCGGTATGATTGATCGCAAGAACAAATTTGAAGCCCAGCGCGAAACGAAACTTCCCCAGGGAACGTTTGACTCCTGGCTTCAGAAGTAGCAGCTGAATTTGAAGTCTGCAAAATATTAATCTTCTCTCTCTCTCTCTCCATCTCTCCGTCTTTCTGACATTGCGCAAGTCCTGGGGAATCGTATTAGCTTCATTTTGACATACATATCATATAATGGGATCCACATATGGTCACGCGGTGCAAACCTCTAACTAAAGACCACCTGCTACTAAAGACCGCTTTTGCTGGCACCAAGGGGTGGTCGGTAGTCACAGGTTTTACTGTACCGGTAAGTGGATAGCTAACTAAAATAATTAGCCGTATGGTTTAGAAATAGTGGTGGCGACTCTGGATGGCAGTCGTGAGTCCGTCAAGTGTCAAGTCGACGGAATAGCACTAGCTCCAGTGTGGGGAGCAAACCCATTCCTAGGTTAGCATCCCCCCACCTCACAACAGAGCAACCGAGTTTTGGATTAAGCTGGGAGTGCCGATTCGAGCAACTGGTATGATGGCTCTGCTTGGAGCTACTAGATGGCTCGCAGCTGAGCCGGCAAATGACTCCGCTTGGAGCCGTCAAATGACTCCGCATGGAGCCACCGAATGACTTCGCATGGAGCCGCCGAATGACCCCGCATGGAGCCGCCGAATGACCCCGCATGGAGCCGCCGAATGACCCCGCATGGAGCCGCAAATTGACTCCGCATGGAGCCGCCAATGACTCCGCATGGAGCCGCCAATGACTCCGCATGGAGCCGCCAATGACTCCACATGGAGTCGCCAATGACTCCGCATGGAGCCGCCAATGACTCTGAGTAGAGCCTCCAAATGCTAAATATATTGGTATGCATAACCAGTTGAGAGCATATATTCCATAAATCGGCACTCCCGGAGCGGATCACAAAGTGCAGCTACCCGTGCAATCTGTAAGCGGTGCAAGCTAGGTAAAGACTGTCAGAACTTGATATCATGGGCTGAGGCCATTGCCGCAGCCACCCATACTTTGGCTGCAGGTGGCGTCCGAATGTTACTCGGGCAGACATCGCTTTCCACCTTCCCGCCTCTCTGAATATCGAGTCCCGCAGCTGATTCGAAACGAGTGGCCGGTGTACAACGCCAGGCCAAAGCCACAACTGATGAGCAATATCCTCGCAGTTGCTGTAAATGCCCATCGATTGGCATTCGCAGCTGATGCCGCTAGTTTTCCCAGGTGCTGCGGGCTGCCACAATTGCAAACAACCCTTTGCGATTGCTGCTCTGCTTGATTGACTGTCCATCGCCCTATCCCCGGTCGCAATTGTACGAGCACCGGCCAAGTGCACCACTTGCATCAGTGAATACCAGCAAGTCGGGGGACGGCGTCCATTTAGGGTGTAGGAAGAAGGACCGGCCGTTCCGCTAATCCAGGAGCTCAGGCCATCAGCGAAGATCTTTGAGGCACTCTTTGGAGAGCTTGATCAGGTAACACGGCTTCCGGTACCAGTTGGCAAGTGACCACAATCTGCAATTTGCATCCAGGGGCTATCACTCTTGTAGCAAACGGGAGCTTTCCCAGAAGAGACTCGAGTTGACATTGGGTAGTTGAAGCTGTGTGAAGAGTGGCCCGAAGGAGATCACGAAGCTCGGCAAGTTCGTCCATAGGCATACTGATGTTAGCGCGGCGGGTGTCCAGGATGACGCCGATAAACATCAGGACGTGGGCTGGACCCTCCACTTTTGCTGACGCCAGAGAAAACACCGAGGTATGTAAACGCGCGGCGCCGAGTAGCGAGTTGCTGGCGAGCTAACACAGGTCCAGAGCATGCATTGAGGAAGCACTTTTACTGACGCCAGAGAAACACCGAGGTATGTAAACGCGCGGCGCCGAGTAGCGAGTTGCTGGCGAGCTAACACAAGTTCAGAGCATGCATGGAGACAGAAACGTTAGTCAAGGCACTCCCCGTAATGGGATGATGCCAATAACGTCAGGACTTGAGCTGGACCCTCCACTTTTGCTGGGGCCAGAGAAACATCGAAGTATGTAAACGCTCGGAGCAGAATAGCGAATTGCTGGCAAGCTAACACAAGTCCAGAGCATGCACTGAGGAAGTAACGTTAGTTGAGGTATTCCCCGTAATGCAATAGGCGTGTGAGTGCGAACTGCTAGCACATAATCCATTCACTGGCGGATGCGACAGAGTTCCATATAGCTGGACTGGAGCGTAATAGAGTCTGAAGGGCAGGGCACTCTCATAAAAGTATTGATCCTGCCAGCGGATCGACAAGGACCAATCCTCCGGGCGGACGGGAATTCGGCAGAATGCACTTTTAACATTGAGCTTAGCAAGATACACCGGGGCGAGCACAATTGTGGAGGAAATTGTTTGGGAACGCATGTTCCGCAAGTTGCATGCTCGAAAGTCGAAAACAGCAATGACATGCAAGAGACATTGTACAGGATATTGGAGGGC